AAAAAAAAAAAAAAAAAAAAAAAAAAAAAAAAAAAAAAAAAAAAAAAAAAAAAAAAAAAAAAAAAAAAAAAAAAAAAAAAAAAAAAAAAAAAAAAAAAAAAAAAAAAAAAAAAAAAAAAAAAAAAAAGAATGGACTGAAATTATCAGTGAAGAGCAGCTATTCCGCATGGCATAGAATAAAACCAGAAAAATAAGAAAACTGTTTAATAATACCCCAGATTTAATTGCTTAATGCGATTTCATTAAAACGCTTGTGCCCTCTTTCTAATATACTAGAGGTCCCTCAGTAGTCGAAATTCGACTATAATTAATTGAAATTGTAAGTTTGTACACTATTATGATTGTATTTTATATTTCTATAATTACAAAATTCGCCACTATAAAAAGTATTAACAAAGACAAGCAATATTTAATCTATTCTTAATTTGACAACAGACGCCAAGAACAAAAGTTTGACAATAAATAATATGCATGCGTGTGTGCGTCAAATACATGGTATGTAATGTGTGTAATGTTTTATTTATTGATTTAATGTATCTTTTAAGCATTATTTAAAAAAAATATTAGCATTGTGCACTTCTTCTCTATATTCTCTATAAGTGTGCAAAATTTCATACTCCTCCGACCGCGCAATTTTCGTAAAAAGGGATACAAAGTTTTTGCTTCACGTATAGATAATAAGTATCATTATTTTTTTGATTATCATCATGATTCATTTGGTTTGATTATGATCATTATTATTTAGTCTATATCGTTTTTTGGTATAATTAAATATAAAAACTCTACAAAAAAGCCAACCTTTGTAGTTAATGTTCTAAATGTGCATTACATTACTCTATTTCTTCTATGAATTAATATTATGTTTGTTTCCAAGTTTTTTTCTTTTAGATACATAGAAAAATTGTACTGGAATCGAACTTATACCACCAATGTGACTTAGGCGACAACCCTAAGTCCGCAACCCTCACGCATTTGAAATTATAAAAGGCGATACTCGGAACAGACATTCAGTCTTTTGCCATCTTCCAAGCAATAAATCTAACTGTACTATGCTCGTTTGCTAGTTCATTATTCTTTATAAGTATATAGCAGAATGAAGGAAGCATTTATATCACTTGTAGCTTTTATGGCAATCTGCGGTTCAATCAAATGTCACGATGTCGGAAAAGATGGCTTCAATTTCTATAAAGGTATCGTATTTTTGAGTATTGTTTAATCGTTTTTATTTTCCTATGACCGTTATTTCCATATTAAAATTGGTATTCTGTCGCAATTTTAATTTCAAAATATTTAGGATTGTATAATACAATAGGTTGGGGAAAAAGTTTCTTCGCATTTTTTTAATAAAATTAAATTATTATTTTTCACGGCTTGCGTTGCATTTTTACCTTTTTTGTAGTAAATTTTTAAAATGTATCGAATTTCTTCATTCCATTCACTCATCTTGACAGTACGAAAAATAAATAAAAATCACACATTTTCCTAATTTGAATTTGGAATTATCTTCTTTAAAATTTAAACTTTTAATGATACCAAAACCAGCCAGATACAAATAGTATAGCCAAAGAGATTTTATTACACGTTCATCGTACATACAAAAGACTTTTTCCCCAACCTATTATGTTAAATTTCCTATTTACAATAAATTAATAGGTGTGTGGCGGGTAGCCATCATACAACGCAAGATAATTGACAGATGCCTGAATCTCGCTTACGACATTTTCAAGATAAAGCGCATATATACAAGTTCCGAACAACAACATTCGGACCGTCGGTCTACCGAGCAAATATCACCCGCTCGGTGGAAAATCTTCCCTTTGTCGTATATTCCTACAACTGGTGACCTACGACGGAACAATCGCAACCTTCTGATTCATCATCGGCGCATCAAGAACTTCGGCTACCACAATCCCCGCATTCTCGCAGATAAAAGCACGTCATTGACAGTCGTCCCACAGCAAGCCAGCATCGCAGCCTCAACAGGACCATCGCAGCCGACTCACCGCGCATCCTGGTCCTACGGCACGCAACTTCACTGCCTCATCACGCCGCTACAGTTCATCGCAGCCCACGACCGGATCATCAACGCTTGGGGTCACACATCTCCGGCGTGGCAGCTCTGCATCACATGGACTACGCACGACACGCACGCAACATTCAAGCTCAGTCTCGACTCACCGCAGACTTCGAGCAGCACTGGCGACAATCACGCAGCATTCAGCTCAGTTTCGACTCACTGCAAACTTCGAGCAGCACTGGCGACACGCACGCAGCATTCAAGCTCAGCCTCGACTCACCGCAGGCTTCGAGCAGCACTGGCCCTTGCAAGCTAATCTCAGCACGGACAACGCTAACTAAAAACGACACGACCTCCAGTCTCGGAGGGGAGTGATGTGGCGGGTAGCCATCATACAACGCAAGATAATTGACAGATGCCTGAATTTCGCTTACGACATTTTCAAGATAAAGCGCATATATACAAGTTCCGAACAACAACATTCGGACCGTCGGTCTACCGAGCAATATCACCCGCTCGGTGGAAGATCTTCCCTTTGTCGTTTAAGCCTTCCCCAAAGGTGTATGCATACGACCGGTTTAGCTGGCGAGACATTAATGTCTTAATAAAACATAAAATTTTAGCATTTAACTTTCGATCGACAACGAAGTGCCTTACATAACAATAAACATAAACCGTGTTCGGTACGAAACAAAATTGTATTTAAAAAGAAAAAGGAAAAAAGCATCCGCTTTGACGTAGAGTGCGGTTCGAGGAGAATATAAAACGGAATGACGGTCATTGATAGGCCATCGACTCGGCGATTTCATCGCCAAATATGCTATCTCTGCCAAACGACGTTCACTGGTCGTCAATATTTTTTATGTATGAACTCAGATGTATACCTATTCTTTATGTTAAAATAACAGTACTTACGGGATGCGTGCATTTTAGAATATCACAATCGGTTTTTCTGACAACAAATTTATCAGTGTGCTTAGTGCGTGTTTTTTAACGTTCTCGATAGCGTAAAAGTAATAAACCTGAGTTAACTTTTACGCTATCGAGAACGTCAAAAAACTTGCGCTAAACACATAGAACACCTAAACTTTTCATTCACATTTTACGTTGTAGACATAATGTACTACAAGCGATATTGACCGTAGTTTTAAAAAAACTGCATCATTTTTTGAGCCCTAATGTATATTATATTATATTGCTTATCGGTCGAAACATAAACTATGGTGCTGTCAGTAAAATTTTCCCTACCAGCTAATTATCTTGCATTTTCGTAACGAGTACTACTATCAAGTAATTTTTACGATTTTCGTGTTTTCCTTCAAACTTTTCATTTTCATGCCTAAAAGAGCTATCGTCGCTGAATCTAGGTTAATTTTAATTAAAAGATTCGCTTTCAGAACCCTTTCATTCATCGCTTTCATCGTTTGCCGGTAAAAATAAAAGATGGACGGCTTTATTATATTCCGAAGAGGGCCTTTCAAGCTCTCGATGTGAAAGCAAATGAAAAATAAAAATCAGATGACTCAAGTCAAAATATATATAGAGACTAATAGGGTTTTTTAAATGTTGGTAGTATTTTCAACGTAAGAGCATTGTATTTTGATTTTATAATAGTATCACGAAGACTAGTGATAGGACTTCTTGTGTGTGCACAGGTAGGTACCACTATCCTGCCTATTTCAGCCGTGAAGCAGTAATGCGCTTCAGCTTGAAAGGTGAGGCAGGCGTTATACTCTAAAACTGGGACTTTAGAACTCATATGTCAAGGTGTCAAGGTTTTTTACTGATAGTAAATTCGAATTGGGAGTAAGCTTTTTTTTTAAATTCTGCCCGGTAATTCGGAATGTTACATTAAAGTTGAAAATGAATTTAATGTTCATTTATCGAGATTGAAGAATGATTATTATTAGTGTTATTACAATCGCGTGACCCATCAACAGGTACTTGTTTGTGAGTCTAATTGCTGTGTAATAGTTTCTTGTATAAAGTGCAAATTATTTTAAGCATCAGGAATTCAGTAAATATTTACTAAGTACTAGCTTTCCACCCGATTCTTCGTCTGTTTGGACTGTATTTTATATCGAGTGGGTGGAGGCTAGTGCTCAGCTGTGTGGGATGAAAGGTAACCTATATCCTTTCCCCGGGGTCAAATACGAATTTTATTAAAATCGGTTTGGTGGTTTGGTCGTAAAAATGTAATAAACAGATAGAGTCATATACGCATTATTAATATTATCTGCTATATATCGCTCTTAGCGATAAAACCGCCAATTGTATTTTTTTTATGTAATGTTTCAGATTATTATTATTTTTGGTGTACAAGAAAGTATAAAGAATACTCTGTCTCTCCCCCTCCCTCTCTCTCTCTCTCCCTCTCTCTCTATAACGATAAATTTCATAAGTCTTTAATTAACGATAACCATTTCCTAAAATTCAGTTTCAATGAAACAAATTAAATTCTATCGACTTGTGAAAATTATACAAAAACCCGATTAGTATGTAGTTCCGGCGATGTGCGCGAACAACAGGAACTTATTTAATGTAAAAATCTTGGTAAAAACCTTTAAATAATCGTATTTATAGTGAAGATAGCCGCGAAAGCTTAAATCAACTTTTTCTATGTACAAACACACCGGATTCCAATTTTTTATTACATGTTTTGATTAAATTATTCTTGAAATTAGATAATACTTACTTTGATTCGCTGTATAAATTATTTGTAACTGAATAAATAAGGATGGAAATGTGTTAATATATAATAGCTTTCTTTTTATTTTGTTAATCAGTAATAGTCGTTGTATTAATTATAACTTGTAGGTGGAAAAATAAATTTTAATACTTCTAATGGATTTTTATCCAAAGCTCGACTCAATGATCTTTAATGGTGTAAAATTATTACTTTTAGAGCTGAATATTATTTGGTGGTGTCTTAGCTGAAAGTACTTTCTTTGAAAGGACTAATTCTTATCTTTAAAATATTACATATTAATTCCTTACTTTCTATAGCAATCAGTTAATTAATAATTCGTTCTTAATTGATTGCTCTAAATTGAAAGACAAGTGCTAGATCATTTGGTTTTAAAAGATTATGAAAAACATTAAGTTGTATTAATTACTAGCGACCCGCCCTCGCTTCGCTTCGGAAACTGTAATTTATTATTGATTTCTCCACTATTTAATGGATGATATTATACATATAAACCTTCCTCTTCAATCACTCTATCTATTAAAAAACCGCATCAAAATCCGTTGCGTAGTTTTAAAGATTTAAGCATACATAGGCACAGAGAGATATAGGGACAGAGAAAGCGACTTTGTTTTATACTATGTAGTGATTGTTACGTTAATCTATTCCCGTGCGTCATTTTGTTCAAATGTATGCCTTCTTGCTTTTTTTTTTAAATAATCTTTGAACGCAATTCCAATTTCATTTTTCGTTGACATTTTATTTGGTGCTTGTTCAATAATCATTTACTCAAATAAACAAGATGTTAGATATAGCACGTAGACTCAATGCTAAAAACATAATATTACGGTTGGTCACCAATAAAAATAAATAGTGAAAAACATTTTTACGTGACATAAGTGAAAATATGAAAAGTATACTTTAAAGAAATATAACTAAATCAAATATTATTTGAGTCAGATTTATTTTATACGTTCTGCTAACGTTAAGTCATTTTCAGATTATCTTCGGGCTAGATCTGAAGAGGGGTCGTCGGAGGGGCCAGCTTCGAGTGACCGAATGCTATGTAAGTTTAAATATTACAAAGAGGCTATTTTGTATTTTATTTTATGCCCCTGTAAGGTTGTTTTACTTAGACACGCTCACAATTCCATATATTGTACAAAGCAATAATATTAAATTTCATGAGATTTCGAGTATTTTAAAATGAACCAGTGTTCCCCCAGTACTCGAAATTCGACTATAATTAATTGAAATTATAAGTCTGTACACCATTGTGATTCTTTATTCACAGATTTCGACAAGACTACACTTTACACAAATACCTTGAATACTTACTCTATTAATGCTTTTGACTACAGACTACGAGCAATAAGAAAACTTTCACAATAAACAAATAGTATGCATGCGTGTGTGTGTCAAATACATGGTAGTGTGTGTAATGTTTTATTTATTAATTTAATGTATTTTTATGTATAATTTTATAAATATATTACCATTCTGCACTCCTTCTCTATATTCTCTATAAGTATGGGAAATGTCATACTTCTCCGACCGCGCAATTTTCGTAGAAACGGGTACTAAGATTTTTCTTCGCGTATTAATATTAGATATAGATTTCTTAAGGTAGGAGTACCTACTACAAATGTGTACTTTGTTGATGTTTTCAGATTTCTATCGAACACCGCTACAGCTGTATCCGGGAATGCTACCAGCACTTGAACAAGAATACAAAAAGAGAACTGGGAACATTTATAAGAGTTGGTATAATTTATTTTCTGATACTGACAAAGTCGACGGACGACATGTTGAAGGTCATAGATTCTATAAGATTGCTCTTTTTATAAAGGTTGTCGAGAGAGACATTTTTCAAAAGAATGTCTTACAAGTATCTCAATTGTTCTATTTGAAACTAACTATTAAAAAATGTTGTTTGTTCGTTGGGTGATCAATTTTTTACAATATTTTTGACGTGACAACGTCTTATACTTCGATGGAGCCGGCTGCACGCACGAAAAAACATGACTCATGCGGCGTTACCTCGCTCTGAGGCTTTCCATGTAAGGCTTGAAGTCCAAGCGAGAGCGCGCAACGACCGACAAAGAGGCACAATCGGCCTCCGCGTTCGGCAGCGTTCGACATCTGTCTCTCTCCTACTTGAGTGAGCGATGCATCCGCGTGGACAGCTGCTATACAATAATACATTTACATGTTTTCGTCAAGTATGAAGTTCAGTGAAAAGTGAATGTGGTTTCAATTGTTTATAGCAACGATAATTGCGATAATTGAAAAATGAAACCATTCCATCAGTATTTTCTTATGACGTTGTCACGTTCAACTATCGTCAGTAAGCCGACTTTACAGACAACTGATTTTTTTACAGATCACATGCTAAATAAAGACTTATGGACAGACGAATCTCCTGGAAAACGCAGCTCCAAAACGGCCCTTTCTTTGATGATGCAAAGCAAGCACCCTTATGTGTAAGATTAAATTATGACTGATATAAAATATGATATATAGTTTAGTTATGATAATAATTCTCCATTATGTTTTATGCTATTTTAGAAAGTAAAAATAAACCGACTCGATTAAAGTTACATAAATTCGAAATATGTCATGTAAAGTGTAATAATGATGGAAATTGTGAGGAATTTGTTAACTGTCTCTATGAAGACAGTTTTAACTATTTTTATTGAATGTAATGAATTTCGGAAAAACGAACTCACGGCCCATCTAGACTTGGAGCCCATAGACATTATGCACGATGTCAATGCTGCTGCTCACTGTTAGACATGAGGCTGTAGTTTCATTGTTTAGTATTCGACTGTCCTAGCCATCACCGCATGCATGATTGCTTTGAGGCAGAAATACATGAGCCGGATGGTGAAGTCGTGCGGACTTATAGTTCATATTACTATGACATATACAAAATATAAATAAAATAGAAATAAATTTTCATTGCACGTTATTTTTTTTTATTGTTTTATAACAGTTAAGAGGCAAACGAGCAAGACAGCTGCTATACAATGATACATTTACATATTTTCTTACAAATATTTTATTTATGTATACATATAATAGGCAGGCAAGCATTATTCTTATTATATTTTATTTATGTATACATATAAGAAAATGGAACATTGAAAATGAAAATTGAGAAATTTGAACGTTTAGTTGTATCGTTTGATAGTATAGAGTATATCGGGCGTCTTATTTTTTTAATTACGACAATTATTAAATTTCGTTATAAAATACAAAGTTCGACTTTTACTGTACGAAGCTTGAAAGTTGGTATCGTTTATAAGAAATCAGTACGTTACAAGAACGGTTACAACACTCATGTAACCACGGTACTTTTTGTCATAAAAATATTTATAGTTTGACGACACAGTAATTATATTAATGGAGCTATCGCCGTGATGCTTCAGTTCATTTTAAATATATATTATTTAGCATACGTAATTGTGTCTACAATTTAATGAACGACAACTCGAATCAGACAAGGTCTTTGTTAGGGTCCACCGATTTTTAAAAGTGATGTTCTTCAAATCGATAATGCATGTTTCGGGTTTTAATATATAATAGTAAATTAGTGTTTCCCTATTGGACAAGGTTATAATTTATCAAAGAAAATAAAACCTACTAAAAAAATAATTAAAAAATAAATTTGTTTGAGAGACATAGAAAAAAAGGTACCAAACTGTCTTATTGATAAAGCTAAACTCATCAATAGCCGTTTAATAACAATAGGAAAATCGGTTTAACTAAACTCTAGATTTGTTTTAAAAGAATTTGAATGTGAATATCATATATCAGTAATCGATTGGGATAATGATCTTAGGCGTGGTTTTTTTTTTTTTTAAATTAGCATTTCAAAGACAAGAACCACTAGATTTTGCTCTACCATCTCATATTGCTTAAGCATTGTACACAACTCAAATAAATACGTAATTCACACTTGCAGGGACAGTACACGTTATTGTTTATACGGCTAACGAAGACATTATTTAGGTAACTAACATTGCTTATAACTTAGTAAATTTCATTTTTATATCTCATTTTGTAAAGGAAGTGGTATTCGTTCTTCATAGGAATGCACATCGAATCTACTTATTTGAAAATACGATTTCGGAAAACGGGATACTTTGACCCCCCACTCTAAATAAAGGACTCCTTAGTAACAGGATAATACAATAAAAAACTACAACCAGGTTCATAAAGGGTCCTTACTACGCATTACTGAATAAAACCAATGTAGTGTATATTTAACAACTTGGATTCAACTGTCAGCACCGCATTGTAGCACTTTAGGAACTTAACGTTGTACTGTACAATTGAGACATAGACCTCATGCCTCATGATGGGTGACGGAATTCACGCTGTGACGTCTATATGGTATGGCACCGGTAACTAGTTAACACTAGGTACACCTTGAGCTCTTTCACTCGTCTAATACAAAAAGTTATCTTTTTGCAATTCTGCAGCTGTCTGTTTATTGTCTACTTTGTATTATAACTCCGTCAGCTCTATTCGCTGTACATTACGGGTTTGTCAAATTGGAATATTTTTTTAAACCACAGACAATAATTCGCATATTCATTTTTTTTTGTTTTTCTTTTGCATTGGTGAATGACTATTTAAGGAAGGAAGCATCCACCAACCAAACACCAAATCCACTAATGGGAATAAAAAAATAAAGAGCTAAGCATTAAATAGAACCCATTCAGAAATTATATTACTTTCCAAGGACGAATGCATCACTCGCAATAAATCCATCAACCTACAATAATATTATTTACATAAATTTCCGAAAGTGTCACAATAATAAATTATGTTTTAATAATATTTTTCTTGTTTCAGTACTGAATATCCCACGGGAGACGTCACAGAGATTCCGTACAAGATATACGTTTGAAATGTCTCATACAAATAAAAACATGAAATATGTTTTATTTAATGTTGTAATATTATGTACTCCTCTATGTGTATTATGTAATGATTTAATCACGTACCTATAAACTTATTGGTGTTGATTAATAGTTCCCAATATGTGTGTTATATCATTTAACTATGTATTTAAATCGTTTTAATGTAAATTAAAGAATAAAGCGTTGAAAAATGTGGCTTGTTTATTTTGAGCTCCCATCAGATCCGTCAAAGGCTATCAAAAAGAGAGAGAGAGAGAGAGGTAGCTAATATTTTTGATATGATTTAGTGATCATTTGATTTAAATATGTAGTTCAGATATCTATTCACAAGAGGTTTCTAAGTTTTAAGTGGCTAAATATTTTTGAAAAATGGTATCGTGGACTGGAATAGTATCATGGAGCATTTTGCATTTATTTACTCATTTCAAACTTACTTCGGTTTGTGTGATAAAATATAGAATGTTTTGTACTTTCGTGACAACTCTTTAGTACATACAAATGACTTAGTGATTTCAAAATATAATATATTTTTAATTATTGTTAAAATGCTGTGTTACATTCGGTAAAATCGGACCTATACAAGTAGCAAAAAAAAACATAGAGAACTATATTCATACATATACATATATCATGGCTTTGGAAAGTTTAACTGATATGTAATTTTTGATTGGGTCTTAGTCAAGGCGAACGAATATTTCATTTCAATGGAATCGAAAATTTCTTGGCTGTGTAACTTGAGCTCACATGAAATTCGACTTCATGATTTTGTTCTGAATTTATATAAAAATGAATTACTTTTCAGTCAAAGTCAAAAATTTGCTCTAGATTGTAGTTTAGTACTATTTTCTTAATTTAGTATACTAAAATTAGTATACAATATTATGTAGGTACCTATATGATATTAGTTAGTATAGCTTACTGGTGGGAGGACCTCCTGAGAGTCTGCGCGGGTAGGTACCACCACCCTGCCTATTTCTGCCGTGAAGCAGTAATGCGTCATTCCGATAGAGGCACCCGTCACGTGCGGACGTGCTCATCGTCCACTCGATCGCCCGGTCTTTGTTCGCCCGGCTTTTGTTAGCCCGGCCATTGCTCGCGCGGCCTGTGTTCGTGATACATCTGCCGACCAAGTGTGTTTCCTGGAAGCTTTTATTTGTTTTGTTTTAGTTATTTTTGTGTTCGTGGAACATTTGCCGACAAAGTGTTTTCCTGCAAGTATTTATTTGTTTTGTTTCTTTTTGTAATTTCTGTTTTGTTGTGCTTTTTCGTTGTCCTGTAGTAATCGCGCCGCATTGCCACCTGTGTTCAATAGAACCGCTCAGGTCCGAGAAGTTGGGGCCTCGCCCAAGGCGAGTGTTTTCAAGACCCGGGGCCGCCCCACCTGGGTACTCAGCGATCATGGACGCTGTATTCGCGGAATTCCTCCGACTTCGCCACCCACAGCTCGCCTCAGAGTTTCTGGCCTTCAAGGCCAATCACACTGCGATCCCTCTCGAGGACTCCGCCGCGCTCGCTGCTCCTGCGTCGCCTGTACCTGCGTGCAGAGCTTCTGCATTGAGCACCGCAGCCTCTGTCGTGCCTGCCGCTCCCGTGTCGCCTATACTGGCGAGAAAAGCTGCTGCGTCGTCCGCCGTAACCATCGTTTCAGCTGAGCGATCATCCGCGGCCTCCGTCGCGCCCTCTAAAACACCTACNGTTTGTAATTTCATTAACGAATAAATGTTCTGTAGGTGTTTTTTTTTTATCAGGCGGTCCCTTGATAAGTTTAAAATTTGAATCACTCTCAAGTAATATTTCACATAATATCTAAATCACATCATCTTTGCACATAACAATATACTTAATTCCTATTAAAGTATAAATTTTACAAATACATTCATACTCAACAATATTTAATATAAAATAAGCCAAGAACGTTTATCGATAAAACCTACTAACATTAAAATCTTCTGGGCAGCACTAAAGCCGCCATGTTTTGTGGCCAGATGACGTCACAGTGGCACGAATTTTTTGTTGACGTTTCATTTCCATAGGTTTCCTACTTCAGTGGTTTAATGTCACTTCCGTTGCGTGACGTTCTGTAAAAATTTTACCCTCATGCACCTAAAGAAGTTTCACTTCAACAAGTAGTTTTTGCTCTAATACGGATTTTTTCATGTATCACTATTTTGTTATAAACGCAAATCAAAACTTCGTTTTGTAAGAATAGCTTATTCAGCTTGTACGTAGCGAAAATGAAAAGTAGCGCGCTAGGTACCTCGCTCCTAATCAGTTCAGATAGGGCAATATTGTGAGTGCTCCGCTCGGCAGATCTCAGTAATTCCATCTCGGGAGATCTTCTCCAGGCCGCGTCAGAATCGATTTGTTTTCTTATTCAGTTATTAGTTAAGGTTTAGGGTTCCTTCGTCGAATCTAAGTTAAAAATGATAAAGTGACAAATTAACAATATTTGTTTAATATTTTTTTCGAATTTCCCGAGTCGGAGACATAATTAAAACTACATTTACATTTTTTTTATAGCTTAGATGGGTGGACGAGCTCACAGCCCACCTGGTGTTAAGTGGTTACTGGAGCCCATAGACATCACAACGTAGATGCGCCACCCACCTTGAGATACAAGTTCTAAAGTTTCAGTATAGTTACAACGGCTGCCCCACCCTTCAAACCGAAACGCATTACTGCTTCACGGCAAAAATAGGCAGGACGGTGGTACTTATCCGCGCGGACTCATAAGTGGTCCTACCACCAGTAATTACGCATATTATAATTTTGCGGGTTTGATTTTTATTACACGATGTTATTCCTTTACCGTGGAAGTCAATCGTGAACATTTGTTCGCACGTTTTTGTTTGTCATTTAATTATTCCCTAAAGTTGTAAATGACAACGGAAACAATTTATTTATTTATTACACTTCATAATATGTATTTACATTGGCGGACTTAATGCCTAAGGCATTCTCAACCAGTGAACCAAAAGCAGTGCCCAGTAAATACAGATACATAGATAGAAATATATAGTTTATACAATATTCAAAGGAATATATTATCACTAATTAAATGGTTTTAATAAATCACATATTCGTTTAGTTGATTGCTCGCTGTGTAAATAAATCTTATTTAGACTAAACTTAGGCCAACCAGACGAGATAATAAACGTAAACAAGCGGACCGTTACTGAGTTACATTGCGATAGCGAGGGATTATTATCTCTGTCCTTATCACTCGTACGCGCAGTTATGGCGTCAGTTGGTCGACAACAGCTGTCGTTGTGTGTTTCGTGGTACAGGAAAGCACTGAGTACCGCAGTTGTCAACATTTGGTCCGCCANTACTGAGTTACATTGCGATAGCGAGGGATTATTATCTCTGTCCTTATCACTCGTACGCGCAGTTATGGCGTCAGTTGGTCGACAACAGCTGTCGTTGTGTGTTTCGTGGTACAGGAAAGCACTGAGTACCGCAGTTGTCAACATTTGGTCCGCCATTTTGTGAACAAGTTCATTCCTGTTTGGATTGCGTTCGAAGTGACACGTATTTTTTCATTTCCGTATTTACTTGGTTTGTTGTTGTTATTATTCCGTTTTTGTTAGTTTTATCATAAACACAGCTGACTCGAACTCTTCCGACGAATCATCTTTGTCTAGTACAGATGACAGCGATTAAAATTCGAACTTTGTAATAATTTATTTAAATAAAAATGTTTTTGGAGTTTACTCCTTTAGAATCGATTTACATATATAGGCCCGGGGTATGAAAATTATGGGGACCAAAATCGTACTAGCATGTCACACGAAATGCGTTATGCGCCTGATTGGCTCCTGATTGCGTGATGCGTGCGCGCGCCAATCAGGAGCCAACGCGCGGCCGCGTTATCGCAGGTGACGCCGGGCTGCTGCGCCGGCAGTCCGCCACAAAGCCTCGTACTGATCGCGCGTTTCTCTCATTATTGTATTTTCATATATTTGTTAGTCGTTTGTTTTGTGTCTCGTTAATTTGTTAATAATCTGTAGTGTATCGTGTTGTCGTAATATAGAACTATTTCTCGTATTGTTTCGTTTAATTTTTTATATCCAGTAAACTCCAGTCGTGCGTCGGAGCGGACACACACACTTTTTTTTACTCCTGAAACGTTGTTTACATTTTTTATCTCGTCTGGTTGGCCTTACTTTAGTTTAATTTTACAATAGTTTTTTGGTGTTTTAGGCTGAAATACAGATACGTGTTTAATAGGTGCAATAAATACAGTTATAGTTCTGAGATATCTAATATAATTTAAAACAAAGATTTGAGGATGTTTTGTTGTTAAAATGTTATTATTTTTTAATCCCATTACATGTAATATAACAATAGGTAACTGAAACTAAAAAGATAATTTTGTGGCTCTGTCTTTGTCGTAATTGTTTAATACTGTATATTTACAAGCAGTTGTGGTTTTACTACACACATCATTTATAATATTACGGAACCTTATTCTAGAAACGAATAATTACATTCGGCGAATACTTTTATTGAAACAATAAGTATGTATTTTAAGCAAGCTTTTACGGTGAAAGCGATTCTAGTGAATTCCACAACAAAAACCAGAGGTAAACCGAATAATCTTATTAGCAAAATATAGAAAATATGAAAATGTATTATAATTGAGCAATAATCATTTTTGGGTAACATTTAGAGCTATTTAAGCATAGTCTTTTGAGTATTTTTTTCTTTTTTGCTTTAATAAAATACTGCTTTAATAAATAATGAAATGTAATATCCGAACTACTATAGCACTGCTTTATGATACTTACTGGTGGTAGGACGTCTCTTGTGAGTCCGCACGGGTAGGTACCACCGCCCCGTTAATTTCTTCCGTGAAGCAGTAATGCGTTTCGGTTCGAAGGGCGGGGCAGCCGTTGTAACTATACTTGAGACCTTAGAACTTATATCTCATGGTGGGTGGCGCATTTATGTTGTAGATGTCTATGGGCTCCAGTAACCACTTAACACCAGGTGGGCTGTGAGCTCGTCCAACCATCTAAGCAACAAAAAAAAATGATAGGGCACGCAATATGAATGCATATAGGT